GGGCTGACTGAAGTCTGAAATGGTGCATGAGTTGGATGAATCTCAAATTCTTTTTGGCTTCCAGGTCCTGACGAAGGCGGTAACGCCGAAACGTTGACTGAATAAAGTGCTGTACCATCTTGGCTGAGGCTACACCACACACCTTCATACTAAGTCGACCATTTTTTCATTTGCTAAATAAAATGAACCACTGAACACATTGAGACAGTGTTCCTTTCATGACATCCGGTACCATGATACCAGGTAAGCGGTCGGTAAGACTCATTCATTTTAACGACTGACTCTTGGATGGACGAGCTGAATGAGCTCATCTATGACAGGGTTCACAACAAGGTCTGCAGAATCTGCTAATTGTCTGGATTTTGAAGTGATCTAATCTTATGTTGCTTGTTCAGAAGTGGTTCACTGCTCGTGGATTGGACTTACTCTCACAAAGCACTGGTCAAAACGTTGAGTTGGTAAGAGGCGAATTTCATTCAACCATCCACAATACTTTCTTCTTATTCAATTTCAGATAGCGAAATTGATTTGTGGCTTTCTTTTCCTCCTTCTTATCGGCAACAATAACTGGATAGTGTGTAACACAATTCTTGTCGTCGTTCCCCTTCTTTTAACCTATGTTTATCCCGATGAAAAGCCTCCAGTAAGCAACATGCGGGTGTACTGGTAAGGTCTATTCCTTATATGAAAACCGTGTGCTGATTTGGTGTTTTCTGTACAGCGGAGCAGCATGAAATAGCTGTTCCCATTGCTGCTCAAAACTGGGCGACAGAAGAACGTCCGGTTGAGTTAGTGAACACTCTTCTCCGTTTAATTTTTCATGGGTACACTAGAGGCACAAACACTCGCTAAAGGCAAACTTAAGGACTGGAAGAGCATTCCTTCCGAGCCGTCTTGGTCGGGATTGAGCAATTCTGGTATTGTTCGGCGTCATTCGACCCTCCACTGGCGCTCTCATAGTCCATGATTTGGCGAGCGACCAGTCGCGCGACCAGTCGTGGACCAGTCGCGCGACCAGTCGTGGACAAGTTGCGCGAGCAGTCGTGCGACCGGTCGCGAACCTATCAAGCCAGCGACAGAGCGACCAGTCGCGCGACCGATCGCTCAACGGCGCCCGCGGCTAACGCCGCCTCCTCGATCGATCGCGCGATCAGTCGCTCGCCAAATGGCGGACTATGAAAACAGCCACTCGATCAGTAAGGAACCAGGGAAGCAAGGAAGACAGTGGATGACGGGATTTGAATAGACCACCTTTTCTGCACTTTAATCTACGTCCTTTGGGGGCAGAATTACTGAAACCTCATACTTCACTTCTGCAACTCCTTTTGCCTCGAAAATGTTATAGTCCGAGACTCCCAATGTTACATTATGAGCTCCGACAAATCAACAGCACGGGTCATGGGTTTATTTTGGGGTATCCAGTTGAGACGAATAATGTAAGTGATAATCTAGGTCAAGATACCGCGAAAATAAGCGCAGCGCATGTTACAGATCAATAGGGTTTTTCAAAAGGTAAAATTAGAGGTTAGACGAGAATGTGACGACAAAAGTGGTGCGAAATGGATGTTTGGGCTTGTTGTCCAAATGTGTGTGCCACTGCTTTCTGCTGATTTCAATAAGCTGCCTTTGTGCATTGTGTGGGTCCCGGTGTGAATGGGACAACCTTCGCAGCCTGTGCAACACCTGAAAACTTGTTCTCCTTTTGTTGTGTACGTCGGCTTAGCTGGTCTGGATCATTTATTACGCCCTACTATTCCGTTTTTCGGCCCGGCAGCTTCCATTGTCTTACCTTGGGGGTCACAGGTTCATCCTAGAAGAAATCCCAAAAACCGTTTTCACTGTGAACTGTGTCTTTGATGTAGTGCAAAAATAATATGGATTGGGAGTACTAATGGAAAGCGTACTACTTCGTGCAATGTTCCTCTTTCAGGATGAGTGCATTCCTAATGACGGCTTTCGATCGTATGCTAGAAACATTTCCATTATATTACGTTATCAAACTAGCCATTCTTCTTTTCCTATTAGTCGAACCATCATGCCTAAATGAAAGGCTCAAAAAATTATTTAAAATACCTGTAAGTTTTTCATCTTTGTGTTCCTCCCCCATTGCTGGTAGGCTAAGTTTTGAATTGATTTTTAACAAGCAATCGTAACTTCAGTAGAAAACTGGGAAGTAGAGCCTATAGTCTTTTGCGCTAAGTTATGCAAGGTTATACGTCGCCAGATGGCCCCTGCTCTGAAGTTCCCAGTCTAGCAGCAGTTTTGTTCGAGTTTTTCGATTTCTCCTCAGAAATCGAATAGAAGCATCGAAGAAAATGTTATGGGTGACATTACAGTCTGACCCTACGGATAGTGACTACGAAGGCGGTACGAGGACTGCTTAGAAATACTTGATATGTGCTACATCGCTACGCAATCATGAAATGATCTGACCAGCGATTCCATCCTACTTATGATGCCTTCAATAAATAGTTTACTGAATCATTCAAAGTCTAATGCAAAATGCAGCAATATTGCGGTATAATTTGGTCTTCCCCGCAAGGTCTTCTGGCCTAAGTGACAGTCTGGAGGAGTATGTGAGCGGATCTCCTGGTTGAATAGCTTGTTTTGAAGTGACTTTTCGCTTTACACGAAAATTCTTAGAAGCTAAAGATGGTTCGTTAAAAAGGCCTAAAAGCCATTGTCCTTGGCTCATAGGATCCTGCTGCACAGCAGTTGATAACAAAAGCACCCCGTTAAACTCAAACCTCGCAGACATTCCAAAAATTTGAGGCGTGAGGCTTGAGATTAGACTCCTTAAGCACAGTTCACGACAATAATGGTTCTGACATTTCTCTTTTGGATGAACCTGTGACCCCCGAGCATAGCACAAGGGAAGCTGTCGGGTCGAAAAACGGAATAGGTAAGTTGTAATAAATGATCCAAACCAGCCAAGTCGACGTACACACCCAAAGGTGGACGGGTTCTCAGGTGTTGCAGTGGCTGTGAAGGTTGTCCTACTCGCACCGGGGTCCGGACAATGCACGTAAGCAGCCTACTGAACTCAGCTACAGCAGTGACACCGTGCTTAAACAGCTCGTCCAAATATCCCTTCTAGTCGTCTCCATATTCTCGATCAACCCCTACTTTTGCTAATTTTCTGAAGCCTTTTTCTGAATACGTCGACTTCCCGTTTTCTTCGCCACCTTCGCACTATTCTGGGCGATCACTTCCATTATTCATCTAAAACCAGATACTAGAAAGTTGTCGTGAACTGTACCTTTAAGATTTTCAGCAGGTCAATTCTCAACAAAACACTGTAAACACAAGGTTTTGAAGCCACTGTTGTGTATCAAATACTGAAATGTCCAATCCTAGGAAAAAATTTCGACACGATCTGAAGGTTCCGTGCAAGAAGAAACTCCGAAACTTGAAGAAAGTCCTTCACAGCAAAGTCGGGGGTCCGCTATATCACCAACCACAGCGGTGGTTGATAAATCACGATCGGAGAGTCAACAAAAATCGCCTACGTTAGGCGCACCTACGCCGTACGACACTAAACCGTTGTCACAGCCCCAAATATCGACCGTTGGCTCGGAGTCGATTGCAAAGGCAAGCATCGCGCAAGGACCGCCCGTTGGAGTGGGTGAAAAAAGAGAAGTGGAATCGGTATACTTTAACATACCGAAACCAGTGACTAAAGATGCAGTGCTGTCTATGAGAGCACCACCTAAATTGTCCCCCGAGTCTTCGGTGCAGCAGAAACCAAGTCAAGTTTCGCCTGGTAGGAAAACGCCCAGGAAATCCTCAAAACGTCGGTAGATATAACCTCTTCTTAAGTTCCAGTGAATGAAGTACATCTGTAGATTTCATGTGTATTTGTGATGCAGTGATTTTGACCAGTGACTGTCCACTATTCCATAAATATTTAATAACCATTTATATGTTTGTTACTTGTAGTGTTGTAGTATCCCTTTTTGAATATATAGCCAATGAAACATCGAGCTCTCAAAGTCAGCCGATAACGACCGTGGAATTTCATTCATCTATATCGATTCTTGAAAAATAAGCAACTTCTGAACGCTACATGACGCTTTCAAATATTGTTCCCAAATGGTCTCCCATGGAAAGTCTGTATGGGTTATACGTGATGTTTTTATAAGATTGTAGTGAGACAAGGGAATCTATTAATCATTTGCTTACAAAGAAACGTAAGGCTGTCTGTTTCTTAAGAGTAACCTCTCAACCATTATTCGGAACAATCCTTCACTATAAGGTAAACATAACCGAAAAAGGAAGCCTTTAGAGATCGGCGACACCTCACTTGCCCACCATAACTTCTAGGAATGGCCCAATGGTGTGGGCGCCTTCAAGACACATCAGTACTCCCACGGAGAACGTCCGTTGCGCGTGCCCCTCGAAAGCAGGTCATCCCGCCCACTTCGCGCGCGGCGCATCACACTGAGGTCTCGAGGGGGTGTATGTCGTTTGGCGCGATGGGCGGGGTCGCGCCGCCTCAAATGGGCGACGCGACCCCGCCCATCGCGCCATACGACCGCCTCCCGTCTCGAGGTGACATTACAGTACCACCAAGTGTCATTGGAGCAAATGATTTGCATTTGTCTGTGTTATCTTCTTCTTGAACTGACTGCCGTGGACCAAACGCAAAGCGTATGCCCCACTGGCAATTGCGACGTCTGCCAAATATCGCGGGCCGACTCGCCCCGTGCGACGGCTGCGGCGTGGCCTAGTTTTGATGGACACGCGCAACGAAGCGCACCCGTACTCCCACTAGAGTCATCGAGGATGGGGGTGAGGGCATTTGTCATTGCTGGGGCTCCTGACCGTGAGACCTCCCGTACGTACAGGAACGAAATTCCAGAATTCAAGAGCTTTTCTCGACATTTCCCGAGCATTCTGAAAACCGCGAACTTCACTATGACAGTGACAGTAGTGACAGAATGACAGAGCTCCACCTTAACCCTTGAGATGGAGCTCTGTCGCTCTAACACCACGATAATTTATAGTGAAGTTCGCTGCTTACTGAATGCTTATTGTCTAGAGGGGAACGTAGGAAAAAAGTTTTTTTTATCAATAATAGAGTTTAGAAACGATGACTTTGAATCCTTGCTAAATCTTAGCTTACAAATCTTTATTTACAAAAAGTCTCAGTCAACACCGTGCATTGAGAATAATTAAGATCATTTGAGTAATTAAGACCTCAGAGGTACTCCGGTGGCCATTTCACCGACTTCATTCGGCGTCTTCATACTCGAACAACTGCTCGTTATTCAGGTAGAACAGCCTCGGATCGCGATGCGTTCCACAAGATATCTCAAATGTGATCGTAGTATTGATGCAAATCTCCTTTCGCCATAGATACCTGAATTCACTAGAGAATACTTCTGTATGACTGGCATTCGAGCCAATTACTGGTCGTGTTCATTCCGCTCGAGAACCCGGAGCAACCTGTGGTCTTACCAGTCTTTTCTTCTTCGTTCTAAGTTGTAGGTGTAAAACATAGAGCATTGGTGATTCCACTGAGGCTTCTTGGTCACAATCGTTGCCTCCTCTGACTCTTCGCAGCCCAACCCACAATAGACACGTGTTGCATTTGTCTGCAATGAACTTTCAATATACATAGCTCGTTGGAATGATAGTAGTTAAAGGTAGAAATTTATTTGTACAAAGTCTATTGGTTGGTGAAGTCTTGGGATTTATCATCATTAACATGCGCCCTCGCATTTGAAATCAATTCAGAACCGAAGTGGCGAATTGAATGTGGTTCCTGCCCATACAATGACTTGCAGTGGCCAGATTCTGTGCAAGTCAGCGCTTTTACGCGCCCGAAGAAGCCTGGTATCAATTAAAAAAATGGTTGTTTTTTTTTTTCGGGGCAAACACTGTTCCAGGCCTTGATACCCAAACCATATGTGTGTGATGATGCACCACTTCCCACTGAACCGCTTCCGCCCGGACATGAATATGCCATTTCTTTCACTTATTTTCTGCTGTGCTCTGCTCATGCATAGCGCCCACAGATTAAGTTATATTGTGATCAGAATAAATCAAATAATGTGGAATCAACAGTTCTTGGTGCAAATTACACTGTCAAGTTCTTCGAAACATCCCGGATTCTCTTCGACGACGATGTTTGGATCAACAAGTGAGCATCGAGTGTTTTGGCCGCCGTAATATTCACATTCGAATCGACGGGATTCTGAAGATTCCAGATAGTTACATGAATGTAAGACTGCTCAAATGAAAGTCTTCGGGAGTGCATTTTCATCGAATCTGGATGCTAAGGAAAAGGAGGGCTTGGGGAGGGAAAAAGCCACTTTGTGCTTCATAACCTTTGCACAGATTTTCGGGTCTTGCGAATCATCTATTTCTCGGTTTTGAGTAAGCAGTAGCAGTAGGCATAATGCAGGAAAGTGCAGTTTGGAGGGAAGAAATTCCTCTGGAGCCTTACTGTGGTGAACAATAGTTAACGGGAAAGTCTTCCGATTCGATGAAAGAAGGCTTTTTATTGTTCGAGTGTTCGAGCTTATTTATACATATGAATGACACATTTTGATAAACTATAAACACTCACTCCAGTAATACGAGTTAGTGATAGGTAAAGTGTAGACGAGAGCCACGAAACAGATGGAGGCGACAAAGGCAACACTCTCAACCATTCGACTGATTGACCAGCAATGATCATTTGTGGAAAGGCAGGTTTGGCCTTTGCAGAAGCTGGTCGGCGCCCGTTGACAAACTAGAATAAGCATTTCAAATCATATCCAGCAAGAGAAACAACAAGAGAACAGAACACCGTTGACGATTGAAGCTGCTCTCCCATATATTAAATGCCCGCTCCAAAACCAAGAAATAAGCTTTTGAAGTTGCCCCAAAGATGCACTTGCTTAGTGCAAGCTTTTCAGTGATCAGAACGAGGCTTCATTGTGTAGAGACGTACTTTGAATCGTAATGAAAAGCTTTATTTTCTGCTCCCAATTAGCCGTAAGCTCAGTAAATCCGGTGTGGATGCCAGCAATTTTAGAAATTGTCTATTTTGAACTCTCCTGCTACTGAGCTATTTTGAACTCTCCAGTTACTAACTCTTTTGATAGTCGCACGTTCAAATCTTCAAGTTGGGCTGCTATCACTAACCATTAGAATTTCTTCCATTTGAATCGCTTAGACCTACTATTCTGGACGGCCTTTAGCGACATCAGCTTGGAGGTGATTTCAATCTTCGTGATAAGAATCGTACTCGTTGACATACCTTGAAGAACGAATTTCGAGCTGCCGAAGGAGAACTACGAATGCCGTCTTTCCTGCTACTCACACGTCCAACATACAGACAACAAAGAGCTTCATTCACATATTCCAAAACCAAAACATTTTTTTTCTTAGGATAGAAGTTATTCGCCATCTACTCAGGGATGATCTCATTCCTGACATGGGCTATCCTTCTATCAAACATTGCTTTGAAAGTACTTATGTAAGCGGAATCACATTAATGATGTAAAGTGAAGAGATGAACAAAATACCAGTTGACTTATTTTGTTTATTTATTGGTTGTTTATTTTATGGTAACAATACATTGATGAATGATTGTTGATCTACAGATCTTCGGTCAGTCCAAATAGTAGACGTGTTCGGTAGACGTGCCCGTTGCATTTCTTAGAGCTGAAAAAGAAATAGCCATTAAAGTGTGGAAACAACTAGCAGCCTTTGATAGTGTCTAACTCGCCGGTGAATTTTTTCTCCTCTGGAACTATTCTTAACAGGAAAGGAGTGCTACATTGATGGGATGAAATGATGTTTAGACTCTCATAGTAGATGTCACAAGCGTAGCATCATTATAGCTACATAGATGATGGTGATGATGGTTCGTGGTTAATACAAATTTGCGGAAACGATTCTTCAGAAAGTTTTGTAGAATCGAAAGCTCACCGATCTCACAGAAGTTGCCATAGTAGCCGTTTACACAAACGCACACGCCCAGGCTAGACGTACCACCATTGACGCAGACCTTAAAGGGATTTTAACTGCCAGGCTTTCTGCCACAACAAAACGACATCAACGGCTGCTAGTTTGAAATTCGATTACCACCACATACTACCACATAATACATCAAAATATTCACGATAATGAGCTACAAGCAGCGAAAAGAAATCTCAGACCCTTCCGAGCATACTTTAACTATTTCAAGTCTTTGATAATGGCAATTGGCGCACTATTGCAAACGAATGGTCACGAGTTCAAATAAGTCGAATGCTGAGGAGCATTTCAGGGATGGGGTCTTATGTTAGATTTGTGCGTTAGGTGTTTCATCGGAAGTTGCACGAAAAATGGCGGATAATTATGTGTTGAACCAATACATAAATTATCGTCTTCTTGAAAAAAAAAGCTGTGCTTTTCATTCTATTTAAGTCATTTTGCTTGACCATGCACAACTGCGAAAATGTTTGGCAGGTACGAAAGCAGTGCCAGTCGAGATTCAGTTGTATTCTCATGCATTCATTACCTTGCGAGATCAATTGTCGGGAAAATGACCTAAAAACAAAATCGAAGTCTCAAAAAGCATATGAAAACTATGGATTTTGATACCAGATGGGATCGAAATTCACATTTTGCAACCGTTTATAGAGAAAAGTGAGAATTTAGTGAAAAGTGAAAAATACTTATAAAGACCACAAGAAACAACAAACCCTGTTGCTGCAGTAATCGCCCCTGTAGTTACCATCACAAACACATTCTCCATATGTATTCCGCGCTCCATGGACACACTGTGCAGCGGAGTCTGAAGGCGTTCTGAGTTCGATAATAAAAAAATTTAGCTCCAGCTCGGGTCGCTTTTGATATTTTCTTCGTTCCTTTGTTTCTATATATTGTAATACTGAAGGTGTTGCGACAGACGTGGCTAAGTATCGAGACAAGCATTTCAAATTTCTAATTTATCCGCCTAAAGTATCCATTGGTCTACACGACCTGGGTTTTGGATGAAATCGTTCGTATCGGACTAACCAATAAGTTGTCAGCAAGCCCCAGTACTTCTCACTGTGTTTCGGATCAACGGCCAAGAATTCGTAGAGAAGCCTTTTTTCGCCGGGGATAGCAACCTTTCTGAACACACAAGAAACGCCCCAGTACTATTGGGTTTACGCTCCTTTATGCAACTTCCTTGCTTCGTTTTCCACCTTTCTTTATCAGTTGCCCCTTTTGCTCTAGTAAGGCGTGCTTTTCCTTTCAGTCTTAAGCCTTATCGTTAGTTTTCTTTGATTAGTTTCTTTAAATTTTCTGCTTTTCCTAGTTGTTGGCAATAGGCCAGCTGAATCAAAGTTCCTATTTTTGCCCTTGTTTACTTACCACTACTGGTGGGCTGGGAGAAGAAGAACGTTCGCTGGAATTTCGTTTTATTAGCATCCGTCCCCATTACAACATATCGCTGGTAGGTTGTTGACGGCGACTAAAAGTGATTCCGATTATCCTCCTCCGGAGCAAATGGTCTCCAGAAGGCTTATCGCATTGATATTTTGTTAAAGAAAAAGCTGAGTAGGACCTTTTTGGCATACCTTGCAAAGGGGTCATGAATTCCGGATGGAAATCGAATATTTCTATGCAGGTCGTAACAGTTTACCTACATACCATAAATACTTCAGTAACAAATTGACTGGCACATCCTGTCGGGTCTCTGGGATGGAGAGACTGTCCAACAAGGATCTTGTCGTTCCATGGTGCAGAGAAATCCGTCTCAGCAACGTTGAGCGAGTCCATGGTCACGCCGAAGTTTGCGTAGAGAGAGTTTGTCACACGAGTAGTAACGTAAACACTTGCGTTTGTGCCTGAATCAGAGCTGTAATAAGTGAGTAGAAGATCTCCATGTTGAGAGACGACTTTGCTTATTCCCAGTCTAGGCATACCCAGCTTAGAGAACGGTCCTGATTTGACAAAGTCGTGGTCTTGCGACGAAGTAAAGCCGGGAATGACGTGAACCGGAGTTTCCGCTCTCACCTGAAACCATGTAACAACACTTCACATATATTTCATATATATAATATATGTCTGGCATGCATCATTCCTACGACGACTTTTTCTTTCCAAAAAACTCAAAATTGGTAGTACTGCATAAGTTCAAGGAACAGGAACGTTAGAAAGAGTATGGTAGTATTTCTCCCCACAGCCCAAGAGACGCTGTCGACTCGAAAAACGGCCTAGGTAGAACGTATTAAGGGCTCCGGGAAGTAGGGAAGAAAGTGGACCAGACATGTAATAAGCCACAGAATGGAACCAGGGGGAATCACATTATTTTGCTTCGAGAATAGCTCTCGTCACCTGAATAAAACAGCTGCCTGAAGTGGTTCTCACTGAAGCTGTCCAGTGTCCGCCATTCCCGTTAGCGGTGGATATAACTGAAAGCTGCCAAAATAAAAAGGAATTACATTATATACTGGTATTTCTCTAAATTCAAGGGTCAGTTTTCAATCACATAATGCTGGAGTAGTTTTTAGTGCATGATACTTACGAGCACCCACTTAACTTCTACCTTAAAGGCACAGTTCACAATGAAAAGTGATGGTAGTATCTCATCCTGAGATGAATCAGTGACCCCCAAGAACCTAAACGGCCTGTATGGGACGCAATAAGAGCTCCAAACCGGCTTAGCCAACAAACACACCCAAAGGCGGGTGTTGCTACATTCAGCCAGAAGTGGATGGACGCTGCAAATGGCGCGGCGAGATTCGTGGCGTTTAGAACGACTTTGGCACCTATCACTGGGGCACTAGCTTGAATTAGAGTACATTAGTATGGTCAGATAATCCTACTAATCGAATCCATTTCCAATTCGGACCCCAATGATAGGCGCTAAAGTCGTTTGAATCGCCACGAATTTCGCCGCGCGTTTTGCCGCGTTCATCCGGTCTGGTCTGGGTGAGTGTACCCATACCCAAAGTCGTCCTGAACGCCACGGATTTCGCTGCCCCATTTGCCATTTTCATCAAGTTCTGTTCCCCTTTCTCCGCCACATTAGCACTTAACTGGACTATCCTTTCCATTATTCGTCTAGAACTGAGCCCCTCGGAGTTATTGTGAACTGAGCCTTTAAACTATTCAAAAGGACCGCCAATCCCTACTTTCATCAATGGCGATAGCACACACCTTAAAACTCACCAAATTCGACAATAAGTGCAGCGGAATCACTTAGCAGTACGTTTGCAGAGCTGATGGGCAGAGTATTTCCTAAAAAAACTAGTAATAAATCCTTTCCATAGCACGGTAAAAGTTTTATTGAACAGGATTGTTTGTCAGTTCTTGTAATAAAAATGTTAAAGCTTAATGTTATGGAATTTCACTAGAAGTGCGGGAACTCTCTAAGGACGCCCTCCTGAACGGGATTCATATTTACTGCACACTCACAAAAGACTAACGCTCTACAGCGAACAGTTGCCTGTCTTTCGAGCAACTCGTCTTCCTGTTCAGTATCTACTGTAGAGAGTGATAAAGGCAGGTTGCAAGAGTGGATTTTTTTATTTCCTTTTTATTGTAAATCTGTTCAAGATCAATTGTTTCCGAAAATAACAATTGAACTCAGCTCGTTAAGCTTAACAGGCGGCTTTTTGGAAATCTGTATAAGCAATTCATTCGTGCAAAAAGCCGGGATGAGATAAGAGTTGGACGTTCAATTACCTAACCCACACTGGTGCTCCTTCCTAAGGCTTAGTTTAGAAATGTGTGTATCTCTACCAGGAAACGTTCCTGAACACCATTATGGGCTCACAAAGTCAGGTACTCTTCCTACTCGACACTCTAGCGCTCAGTGTTGGAAACCAGCAGCGGCCCCTATCCCAACAACATACATTTTATTAAACGTATTACTGTGCACTGAAATTCCGGGTCACCTACGCCTACATGTAATCACGTGGGCTGAAAAAACCTTACAGAACACTTACGACAGTCCTGGATCTTCAAACCAGTCCATCGCTATTATTTCACCAGTCGAATCGCCGGCTGACGCGGGGCTCTTTTACTCATCGCGTAAAGTTAGCCTGTCGCCCACTTCTCCTTCAAATTAGAAATCGCTCACACCGCCTCTGTGGGCAGAGTCTAGCCCTGTCGCTGACCATCAGTATTCCCAACTTGTCTCCTATGCTCCTAGCAAATTTCAGCGTGCTAGGGCCAATTGTACATTTTGGAGATAGCCTAGTTCATTCCATTTAAAAAACCAGCTTTGAATCGACACATGAAAAAAGGGAGTTTGCGCTTTGGCTCGAAGTAGGGGTTGTTTACGGCGAATGCTGTCCCTAATATTGACCTACATATATCCAAAGGATGTGAATCTCACGAGATAACAGAAAATATGTTGAAAAAAAGCTGTTCAAATAATTGCCTTCAGCAATTGTTAAGACCCAGCCCTGAATAATATTTGCAGCTGTGGGAATGGTGGCGATCATTTCACTGCCACAGCTACAAGAGATCATCACAAAGACAAAAACTGAGTACTCAATCGATTACTTTTTGAATTCGCAGTGATGGTAGAGTGAATGATAAAACAAATTTCCCGGATTTCTTGAAACAAAGCTGAATAGGAATGGTGTTATTGCCATAGTTATTCAAATGACATCTTCTTACATACCAGCTCCATCCAAAACAGTCACGGCTCCAGGAGATGAGACATCGTTCCCTGTGATATCCACAACCACCCGAGTAGCAGTTGATTCCACGAAGAAATTGACGGTTTGGGCATCGGAACAGTCCTAAGACAGAGTTTAAAAGTTTGTGATTAGTAAGGCGAATGTCTACAAACAGGAACTCCTGTGAACTCCAACGATTAGATCTAACGCCACCTGAAATCCGTCGTCATAAATGAAGGCGTTCTCGCTCATGGCCGATATAAGCACATTTGAAAACTGAAGAAGTCATGAAACGTATGAGTATTAAAGATTAGGACATGAGGAACTACCCATCGACACATTGGCTTACACTGGCTATAACTCAACTACTCATTGTGTACTTACACTCCGTGCAGCCAAGACTGTAAGAGGTAGCAGACGACCACCTGACTGTCGAGCTGAAATATTTCATGACGAAGTGTAGTGAATACTTTGAAGGCACGGTTCACGATAATTTTTGGAGTATCTAGTTTTAGACGAGTAATGTAGACGCTAGTCAGAATAGTGTAAAAGTGGCGAAGAAGACGCGAAAATTTAGTTGTGGCGTATTCAGTGGGGTATATGAATAAACAAATCAATAAATAAATAAAATTGGCTCCGTATTTAGAGGAATGTAAGGCTTCGACAAGAATTAAGGCTCGGACGAGTATGTGACGACAAATCTGCATGGGAGGTGTATTTGGACGAGCTGTCTGAGTGTCAGTAAGTTGCTGTGTAGAACGTGTGTGTGAGTCCGGTGCGAATGGTGCCACGAGAATTCTTTGCCTTTGGGAGTGCATGTTGGCTAAGCCGGTTTTGGGGCTCATATTACGCCCTATCTAGACCGTCTTCCATCTGACAGCGACCCTAGTGCTATCCTTGGGGATCACAAGTTCATCCCAGGGATGAACCTGAGCTGTGCTTTTAATACTCAGCTGTTGCTTCACAAATATCTTCCTGTATAATGGCCAGGATCAGGGTTGGGTCCGGAAACAGAAAAATCAAATCAATAACTAAGGTGACAGACTTTGTACTCGAACCCAATCGGCTCGCACACGACAGCGTTAATTACCGTAACCATTCACTACAATTTCAAATGTTATTCTTACATACATTGTACGCTGTGACATTATGTGGCGAGCACGATGCCGTTCGGGTACAAGGTTCACCCCACAGGTTTAAGCTATGAAAGGTTTACAACACGTTGTGTTTTAGGAATATGAGAGGGATCCGGTCTGTCTCATAAGTAGGTGAACCCAACACAGCCGAAAGATCTACTTTCATTTGGGCCATGTAAGTGAATTTTTAGCTCTGAATGTTCCCTGAGACTGTAGCCATAGGTGTGGTTCACAACCCACTTGATCTTCTCTCATTTTCTGAGCATACGATCTCATAAAAAATTGCTATTGCGATCGAAGCCCGGGCCTTAATCCTGATGCACACTTTTTGGGTCTTAGTCAAATGCGAGGCGCGAATGTCTTAAAACGCAAAAAGGATCACTTGTGGTTGTTTCAAGCGTGAGAAGTCGTACCGAAAGTACAGCTTACAAAAGACAGCTCTCCGAAATATCTCTCCGGGAAGAACTTGTGGTCACCTAGTATGCCTTATGTGGCTTTATCAGATCAAAGTAGTCTAGACAAGGCGTAAAGCTCAGAGATTGCACCGTATGCCACACACACACATACACACTTCATGTTTTAACTATTCACAATGGAGCAGATATGTTGAAATTTCAAAGAACTGTGGAGCGACAGTGGATTTTCGGCATTTTCAGTTAATTGCAATCATTAGCTCTGCGCAATGACTTACAATTGACACTCTTCTAAATACCCCTCCCTTGACGTTACAGTCGTACAGCCCCTTTCTTACCCATTTTCTTGATTCCACGATTTCACAATATCCGTGTTTTTTTCGCCACTGTTGTACTATTCTAGCCTTTAACCTCCACTACTTCGCTTAAACTAGGTATCTGGAAATTATCGCGCGTCTTTAAAAAGGGAGATTGAGAGGCTCATATCTGACAATGGTACGAGCAGCTCATAAAACTCCTTGCAAGAATCGTTTCCTGCTAGCTAATGCTGGCTTACTTAGAATATTCCATGTTCACGACATTAGCACTGAAGAATTAGAAAGTTTACCTATCATCGATACTGCAAAACCACTGGGTTGTTGCGGATAGTCCAGCTGTTGCATGTAAAAGACATTCACCTGAAAGCCGTTGAAACCAATATTCGATGCAAAGGTGGGTTTGTGTACTGTCGCATTCCTACGGATGTAATATGGAAGGAACAAGGAAAAAAGATAAGCAATTTAATCCTCTAACACACAACAAGTCATAAATCCATTTTCCACGACATTGCCAGTCCCCATCTTATACTGTTACCTTCCTCTTCGGTCATCGACTTTCATTTTTATGCGAAGAATAGATTTTTCATTGTGGCACCAATAAAGAAGTGAAGTACAAGGACAGCGTAGGAAACATCGTACGATCTAAATCCCCTCACAAACCTTTGACATCCTACACTCATTATTCTTTTCAGCTTCCAAGGGAGAAGGTCTGGTAAAGCCCGGGCTTGAAACCAAAAACAAAAGCGAATACCACAGAATGAAAAATTGATGGTGAGCAATTTCTAGATTAGCCGTGAATTTCTTTCACCTGAACTTCAATCGAACATTAATCTTTAGGGTCTGCAAGATCAATTAATTACCTGTGTGCCCAAGCGTTGTTTCAGGAAGCTTGTCGGTGTTCTGTCAGCATTGTGAGATGTGAAGGCGAAAATTATTGATGGAGGTTGAATCGTGATCTTGTATGCCTAGAACATGCTCTTTATCAGAGAATTCTTATGAGGCCTTGTACACGTGTGCTCACTTCACCAGAGACTCTAGCAATAGCCTAGAATGCTATCCTGACACTTCCTATCTGCATGGAATGGAGGTTTACTTTAGTTTCAACGATTTCATTCCAACAAAAAATTAGAAATGCCTCTTAAAATGACTGGCTAGGATCCACGCATTTCTTTTTAGCAGTTCATGGTTGGAAAAGCCGATGATCAGGGGCAGAGACTAGAATAACTTGCGCGTACCCTGTTCACACTATATACCGCTATGAGTATACAGCGCCCTTTTTAGTTAGGAATCTCCCGATATGATCACCTCTAACTGGCATCGAATTCCCAAAAACGAGGGACGTTGAGTTGGAAGGTGGTGGCCTATGCAAAACTCACGTCCCGCTCCAGCAGAACACTGCCTCTGGAAAGGGATGATATGGCTGGCAGCTGCGCACGCATACGCTTGACCAATCCTTTCACTTTGTCTCCTTTTATCTGCACGTTCATAGAAAATTACCTCTTGTATAGCATCGAGTAGCTTGGTTGATGCTGGGTCCGTGTTTGTGAAATTAGTCAAGGAATTCTCGAAAATGTCCAAGAAACGATCAACGTGAGACGTGCTGATCACTCTTGTGATAACTGCAAATAAATCTTTGACTTTCTGGATGTTCCCCATGAAGAGTACTCTCTGTTCCACATTTGCCCCAAACGTTAGAGGGCAGGCAAATAGAGGAACTGAGCCTTCCTGAAAACGAGGGCGGGGAAACATCCCTATAAATGTAATCAAACTTTTTCGAAGCAAATAGCTCTATGACGAGCGAGTCACACAAAAACGTGGATGTATGCATCATGCCATGTTGAATGCTATTTTGAATAAAAAGGAAAGACAAGAACCAGAAGAGAGCCATGTGGCTGTGCAACTATAAAGAACAACCAAAAATTTCAAGTATCTAACGTATAACTAACGTACCATTTTCATCAAATGTAACCAAAGAATACTGTTTGGGAATGTCGTTACTCTCAGAGCTGTTGACGAAATTGGCGATCATCTGAATACGAACGATTACCGCTTTTCTTTCGATTACCTCCGCAACTAAAGTACAGCAATGGATTACTGTACAACACCTTGTCGTGGAGTGTTTACTTTAAGCTCTACATCTCATTAACCCCTCTTCAAACTTTTTCGAACTGCGGCGTTCACTACTTATTCGTTGCTGCAATCCAGTTGACCCAAGAGTGGTCAAGGTTTAATTTGATTGAGTCGGATTTGGTCCTCAAACTTTGTGCATATGTAGGTGTTAGTAATTCTCTCATCGCTACAGAATCCACTCCTTCCTTGAATCGTTTTTGCCCGAACCCCGAAATCATTTGTAATCAAGAAAGACTTCAGAAAAATAGTGCAATCCGAAACAAAATGAGAGGCATGTATTGAAGATTGGGAGAAACTTACTTGTTGCAAATAGATCGTCGGCATAACCATTCCAATATTTCGCTCAATAACAAACGTAATCTTAAAGAGCAGTCATTAATATGATAATCTACTAAAATGCTACATTGAACAGCTTGGAAGCTGGGGAGGGGAACTCGTTCGCAGTAATGCAATGAGGGAGCGTTCCGGAGTAGCCTCTACTTCTGCCGATAAAATGGGAGAATTCCGTCTTTGGTGGTACGGCCATATCCCACACGGCTATAAAAATAAGGCTGTAAGATCGGCCTCCGCGTTGACGTACCCGGAAAAAGGCCCGAGGAACGTCCTAAGCAGTGCTTTTTAGATACCTTGTATGAGGACTTCACATTAGTTGGCGTTCAGTCATTCAGTCGGGAAAAGTGGCGTCAGTACACCGAAAAGCGCGACAAACACTGAAGAAGATGTATACGACAAACTACTAATTTAAAAAAAATGATATTTTTTGATTTATTTTTGAGCACAATATTTTTGAGGCACATGACTCCAACTGCTATCACATTGCTATACACCGCCTACCCCGAGGAAGTGAAAGCGTTTCATGCTTCGAAAAGCTATGGTGATCTTCCATCCTTTGGTTTTTGTTCTGAAGAGCTAATCGCACCACAGGACTCTTTCTATCGTGCTTTCCGGAACCATGTGCTGTAATAACGTCGTCATCTTGCAGATCTTTTAGCCTGACGCAAGCGCATTTGAAGTTGAACATCAACGAATAGGGTTGCACGTTGGTCAGGGACCCTCATCCTCATCTGTTGCACAGCTGGTAGCAGCTGTAGCGGGTACCCCAAGCGTTCAGGTTTGTGAATACTGGGCCATGTACGGACCTGCCCTTTGTTTTCAATTGGCTTCGTAGTTTCATCGCTAGCTAAGCAGTGTTGCTAGGAACTCGGCAGAACAATATCAATAATTCTCTCAGAATATCTGATCGATCGGATCAAAATAGTCATCAATCATCAACTCCGTTGAGGCAAGTTTGTTTCATCAAGGAAAAAAGAGGTTGATAAAGGCCTGAAGAAAACCCTAGCGGCAGAAACCGAAGGTCAAAGACATACGCACACGTTGCCACGCAGGGAGCTTACTGTGCAATTGTACGCAATGTCACTTACATTCTCGTCCAGCTCGTCCAGACACCCCACATGCATACAAATGCACATGCAACTTCAGTCGTCACATTCACGTCTATTCCCTACCTTCACCAGTCTTCAATTTTTTTTGAATACGCTGATTTCCGCACTCTCTTTGTCGCTTGTGCCCTATTCTAGCAAAATCCCATGATAATCACCTGTCTGAACTCATGTTGCCTTACATCGTGCGTCTCCAGATAATTCCAGTTATCACAAGCGACTGAAAAACATGAACATCACTAAAATCAAGAAGTAATTTGCTGTCTTTTTTGGGTAGAAGTTTTTCATAGCAATCAAAATGGGAATGAACCAGAAGAATGGCCTTACACAGGAATTTATAGTTGTAGTCGCTTCCCAAAATAAGGATACTTGTTAAGGAGCTCGACTCTTCGAAATTTGTCGTAACTATGTAAGTGCACTATTGGAACGGGATCATTAAGTTTCTGGGAAACTTTGTAGCATTCGGTTGACTCGCCTTTTCAAAATGCTAACAAAGAGTAGAGAGGTAAGAAGCCAAAGCCTTCAAATCCTTCCACCGGGACAAACCATAACATCCATACCAAATTGACAGAACTGTCCTATGTACCCAGGAGCACAGATACACTTGTTATCCTTGGCAGTAGCTCCATTCAAGCAAATCGGGTACTCGCAAACGGAGCCCTCGAAGTTCGTAGGACAGCTGCATGAACCGTCTGAAAAGGGGCTATAATTACACTACAGTATTAGGTCTCCAAATCATACATATCCTATTTACACTAAGCATTGGATCATATGAAGGTTATCTGAACGCTTGCGTGTGGCTGCTGTACGTACTAAAAGCGCCATTTAGCAAAAACCCGACCGAGGGCGGCCTGAATGAAATACTGATAGCTCACGGAGAACTCTTGTCAGGAACGTATTAAATGGAAAAGGAACTGTGGCTAGGGATTCCTTGCAAGTTGAATGCATCCTTGCAGAACCAAAGTGGAAATTTGATTTATTTTATGCCTTATTCATGCTCCTTTCCATCATACCTTTCTCTAGAAGTGTTCGTTCACCTTTTCAAATAGGGAGGCCATTCATTGCATGTAGCTCCTTTAGTGACGTTCCGGTTTTTTTTTGGATTGAGAGGCTGAACGAGAGGCCTTTCCCCGACTACAACACGTTATATTGAAGGTCATTCGACGCGACAACCTCCACCTTTCTGGTTTGCTCCCACAACATTTCCAGATCGCAGTACATCCTATTCGACTTAGTTGGTCTCCCTTTTTTTGTGCCTCGACATCTTGTTGTATCTTGTTGTAATAGTTGTACACAAGTTACAGATAGCATACCGTCATTTTCAGATCCACCATTGAGGCAAGTACCAGCGTCATAAAAGCAGTAAGCTCTTTGTGCGCGTTGTACGGTCATTTCACTCGTTTTGATGGTGACCTAAAAATAAGAATTTTACGTACTTGCCGCTGTCGCTGCTTCCACTACTCACTGTTTTACTATGGATCTCAAAGGGCACACAGCTAACCGGTTGGTTTAACTTCCCCGCCAGAAAACAATAAAAGGTGTTCAAATGGAATTCAAACAGCTTTCCCAACAAGGACACTTACCGTAGCAATGAAATTACTAGACATCTCGTAACAGGTGAGCGGTATGGCGAAGAAATTTTCGTAATGGCATGATGGCAGACGTCGGGTCGCAGCAGAGCTAAAATTTAGGGTCTTCGCAGAAAGAAAGACTGAATAAAATGGTTGTTGACGCTCAATTCAGAGAGAGAAGAGCACATTTGTCGGACAGAGAATCTACGAGTCAGGGGAGGACAGGGGTTGAGCCTCAGTCATTTACCCGAAAAGCATGGGGCAGGGCCAGAAATATACCATTGATTTCCTGTTTCATTTTTCTGTGGAGAACGTTCTATTGACACCTCACGGCCAAAACCGACAGCAAACTCGCCTAACTTGAAGCACACCTTAGTTGAGGGAAAGCAACTTTGAAGGCACAGATTACAAGAATTTTGAGGTCTCTAGTTAGACGAACAATGGGAGCGATAGTCCACAAAAGAGCAAATAAGTCGAAGAAAGCGCGGGAATCTTCGCATTTAGAGGAATATAACGATGCAACAAAAGTAGTGAAGTTAGAGATTGGACGAGAATAAGGCGACAGAAGTTGAATGGGAGGGGTACTGGACGATTACAAATGTGCGCGCCATTGCATACAGCCTGCACGGTGATAGTGCAACCTCTATAGATTTTATAACGCAAACTCGTCCGCCTTGGGTGTGTACGTCGTGGTTCGGCTAAGCCAATTTCAAGACCCTTATTACGGCCTACCTTGGCCGTTTTTCGTCACGACGACTGCGCCCCTGAGGATATCTTTGTCGTTCACCTCAAAACCTACTCTTGACGTGAACTGTGCCTTCAAAATGAGGCGCGTGCGAACCGTAAAATTGCGACTTCACTGACAACTGACCGCCTACGTCAAATAATTACTGAAACTAACCTGTAGCGATACGAACCATCACTGTTCTGAATCACCAGTGAAGGTTGACTGTCAGACTGAAACTGGGAACTGACATGCACCACCGGATAGCCTGTTATGCCTGAAAGCAGTCCCATAGGAACCTATAAATACTGAAGGTCATTTTTTCCGAGGGATTATCATTCGTGAGTATGATTAGAGTGCGCTTCAATCTAGCGGTGAATAATTTAGTAAAGGCGAATCATAGTAATAGAAACCTCAATCTGCGTACCGTAATTGAGCGTTAGAAAAGGACTGTCTTTCGATGGGTCTGATGTGAAAGCAAGGTACACCGCCAGCTGTGTCTTCTCGACTATTCTGACACTACAGGGCCCTTTCGTCGAATTTCCCACCGACTGTACTTGCAAAGCGTATCTGAAGTTGTTTTTTACTCTCGATTACTTTTCTTGAGGCTAAGACATAAATAACTGACCCGCCTGTGTTCTGAACTGCCAGCATTATTTCGTATATTCCAAGGAAAGGCATTTGAACGAGTGATGGCAGTTGATAGGGTTGTTCCGTGCTCAAATCGCTGTTTATCAAATGAACATCGAAAGCTTCTACTTCATCTGAAATTACAAAAACAAGCCATCAGCCGACATTGCAAAACCTGCTGGAATACAGTACCGCTGTTGACAAACGCATACACTTGCGTGGTTGGATCGTCAACAAAAAAGTCCGTCACAAAAAGCACGGAACAGTCCTCGACTACCGTTTCTCGTAGTGTTTCCACATGATGATGGGTCATTCCGTAACCGGTGAAGAACTGAAAACAACGATCTCCGTTCCCGAACTGAGTGAGTCCTCCCTATTGTGCGTACTACATACATAGCTCATGGAGCTCATGAGCTTGGAGCTTTAGAAGAGGTTGCATTGATGTGAAGCGCGGTGAATTCTACCTCGGTAATTATATCCCTCGGATAAGAGTTGAAATATGGTTGGCAGAGATTCACAATAGTGCCACCCGTTTGTAATGCCATTAGTGAATAGATACCAGCATCGGAAGATTGTATACACATTTCGTTCATTTGGTACGGAGCCGTAATAACGATGTTGATTTGAAGTTGACGTTCGATTGCTGCCACACTGAAAGCGGAAGTTCACAGTCGACATGATATGGTTTATCACTGAGCGTCTAAGGGAAATGTGTGAGTAGGTTTCGATTGGAGAGAATCCGGAATAGTGAGATAAATCCAAATAATAAAGTCATTATAATAACTGAAATTGCTTTGAACAGGTTGGTGAGTTATAGGCCATTTAAGGGATGAGGACCACGGTGCTAAGCACGAGTAAGGGTTTGAGTCCCGGTCTAGGCCGAAACTCTGAACTTCGTGAGACTGGCCACTCGCCAACTTTGTGAGACTTCCTGATCGCGGTCTGCAGTGAAACAAGGAAACAAGAACAGTTATAAAGCCATCTAGTCATAACAAAATAAGAAATATTTCTCCTAATGTCTCTTGGCGTTAATTGATCTGGACTGAAGGATGGGCTCCTGCATATGACTTCTATTCTATTATAGATTCGTAATAGTGCATTGAATGTGTATGTGGCCTATACAATAAGTTGGAGCTGTCAGTCTGGTTCCAATCAACCGACCCAGGAGGGATGAAGGCCAGGTTGGCCTAGGCGGATACCTACCCGGGATTTAGACCCGTTGTTATGCGTGTGTGATAGTGCGCCACCACCTCCCCCATAACAATTTAAATAATGTCAATACTGATAAAATTTTCGTTAGTTCTCTAAACTACAAATTTCAGAAATGAGCTCCGATTTTTATACTCGCTAAATTTTAATAACAAGTTTAATGCTGCTTCGCCGATAGATCACTCTACTCGAACAATAAAGAGTACCTGATCCGGTGTAGTTACAAAATTTCCTAGTAAGCTGATGTCTTTTTCTATAGTATCCAGTTCATTAAACAACATTTAAACAACTTACACGATATTCGTCACATCTGTTCTTTGTGTGTTCGCAACAGGAATGGCATCTGTGAAAAGGAATATAGAGGATTTATCATAGGAAATGCTGTTGATCGTTTGCAAAAGAGCGGCCGTCGATGGTTGCGAGATAGACTGAGAGTTTCTAGAAAGCGATAAAAAGTAATAAGAAAGACTTAATGGAGACGGGCAGAAAAGCACTCTCTTGGAGAAGCAACTACCTAATACAATTCAAGCATGGCAATGGCGAGGCAACGAGGTAGTTAGCGTCGAAATCGCAGCGTGCGAATCGTGAAGAACGCCACACACTCGAATAAGGGTGAGGGGGTCGCTTCTTGCCCTCCACCACCCAGCGACTCTTCCTTATTAGGTTTTCATCACACCTTTCTAATCAGCGACAACTAACAAAGATAGCGGCTGCACAGGAGGTATTTTTGTGTCAGGAAAGCAAGTACCAACAGGGTCATACACACATAAATGGCAAATGTTGCTGAGAGTTTGTAATGAAAAGGAACTCACTGATACATTACTGATGCAGAAGTAGTGGCGTTCAGAAACGATGTAGCGTCCGGATAATGAGATACGAAGACGATTTCATGCGATTGATTTGCTGCAAACTGATGGTGGTGAATGGCTCATTTGTTCTTTTACGAGACCAGAAAAATAAATGCCTAAGAACCATATAAACACCTTACCTTTTGGAGGACTTTCGAATCCATTTTTCTAATATATAGCATATCTAGATTCATAAAGGAGTGCTCGTCGACCTGCGTTGCCTTTTTCGTTAGTTCCCAAAACTCCTCTTCCCTTCATTTCCTTTCTTCCCTTCCTCCTCTACTTTTTTCCTTTTTCATTTCACTCGAAATCAGTGATATCTGTCATCGCTAAGGTTCAAGCTATTTCCAATAGCCACATCTATCGCTAAGCTGTTCCGGAACTTAACTCCACTAGCTTAGAGCTTTTTTCAATCTGTCATTTCTTTCCGCTGGGCGTGGGTAATTTAGAGACAAGTGGCGTACGATCACACACGCACGGTTCGAACATTGAATACCGAGTCCATATTCGTCTTGGTCAACCGAGCCCTCCATCCCGCCAGGGTGGGCTAATTGGTACCAAACTCGTTTAGGAGGATAAAACCCTGACTTGTACACCGGCTGCCATCGCCGGCCATTGTACGAGCCATTCGCACTCAATACACAATACGATTCTTAATAGAAGTCAGATACAGGAGCGTATCCCCAAGACGGAATTTTAGATAACCAAAGAGACTTTATCCCTCTATCTTTTCTCCATATAGCTGCCGCAATTGGAAGGAAGCATGAATTTCAAATCCGAGGAATGTGAATCGCTTCTCATTATAAAAATGAATCTTTCTTTGTTATTTTCCCAATAAATTTCAGCCGGTGGCAGGGTTAAGGATAAAAGGATATAGAGAAAGGTCTTTTGCGCTAATAAGCCCCATTTTGAGATCGCGCCGTATTAGATCTACATTCAGAATCAATGACGTTTGCTTTTTGCATTGCTTTGATCATTCGGTCTGGAACCACTTTACCGATCCCGGAAGGATGAGAGGCTTGGTTCACATGAGGAGATATCGATATCGGCAGGATTCGATTCCTAGGCTATGTGGGTGTCATAGGGCGCCCCTTGCTACTCCACCTCTGCCAGGGTTATTGAGACAGAGGAGGAGAAGAAGAATTTATTCAAAGTCAGAAAAAAACTTCAGATGTGATAGAAGCTTGAATGGCTCATATGCTCATTTTGTCTTTACTGAACAGTGTTGTATTCTTTGGAAACAGGCTTACTTTTTATAGTGATAGTGTTGAAGGTGGAAACAATGTATTCGTCGAATGCATCTGCCTGTCCCGTAAATTTTAGCAGCGATGTTAGACCCGAAACAATGTGGCTGTTGAGCTGTAAAATATCACAATTTGTTCAAATTAGAGAAATAATAATATATTTTCGACTACGAGCCATCAGTAAATGCAACCATAATAAGGGCCCAAAAGCGGGCTTAGCCGACGTACAAGCTCGAGAGCGGACGAGTTCTCACGGGTGTAGAGTTTGCACCATTCCCAACGAGACGGGGTAACGGAACTTCTCCCCTATCGCGGCATTCTCCCTTGCGGCATGCGGCAAATGTCACTGCAATTACCGTACTCACTCCGCCTCCTGCCAATCGATAGGACGCGATATTTTTCGTTGATTGGCTTGCTTTTTCATTGGATTTGATCGTTTTTTTTTNTTTTTTTTTCTGTTGCTTTTTAGTTTTCATGTTTATTAGACTTGATTAATTTAAATGACTCCTCCTATATAAACGACGATCAAGACCGCATTGGAATTGTAAAGAGCGGCCAGCCAATTCAAATAATTAAAGGACTGCCTACCTCACAAATTGCACGCTCCAACCTTCTATCGCCATCCTGCGATAGGCGGCGGGTGCGGCGTGCGACGCCGTGTTAGGGGAGAAGTTCCCGGACCCCAACGAGACGCACACGTTGCACACAGCTTACTGTTGCCAGCTGTACGCAATGGCACACACATTAAGACATTCGTGCAGATAATCCTAACATGCAATTTATGGCGTCGAATCCTCGTCCAATCGCCAGACCTACTGCTTTCATGGAGCATCACATTTTTGAATACGCCGATTTTTACATTCTTCTGGACTATCATTCCGTTATTCATGCAAAACCCGATACCCTAAATGGTAAACTGTGCCCTTAAAGCAATTAACTGTGCAAAAGTTGATCACCTGCCTACCAGCTCACTGGACGACTTTTTATTAGATCATTCCACTTGAAAAATGGTTCTGTGAGATTTAAAAAAGAAGATTAATGATTAGTTCCCTATATCTATACCCGTGAAGTTGGTGTTGAACTTTATTAACAGGTTTTTTGAAGACAGCAAAAAAGTTTTTTTTTTCAAGTCAGAAAATCTGGCGCGCAGTTATTCAGGTATACGTGAGCAGCACTACGCTGTTGTTTTTTCTCGACACTAATAAATTCCGTTCCGATGTGCGTCACGCTTTCCCTTCCACCTTGAGTTGCTATGTCTTTGAAGTTTGTAATCGATTGCATGCAGACGGATCCATAAATCAACGTCTTGTCACATGAAAGGAGTATCTCAGTATTGAGATAGTTACCTGAGCTTGGGAGAATGAACTCTGAATGACGACTGCCAACGATCGTTTGCTCGCACTGAACTGATTGGACGACGGGGCACTGCACGACACTGGCAAAAATTATGACGACGATGAATAGGGAAAACAGCTTTGTCAAGAGACAATACAAAATGAGTAGATGATGAGGACGATACTCACAAACTTCACAGTGATCGCCACCGTAGCCAACCGGGCATTGACAAAGCGGTCGACCGTTGCCGGGGAATTTCTCCTGGACGCCGCCGTTTAGGCAGACAGGTGTCGCGCAGTTTGGACCATAAAAGAATGCAGTGCAGTTGCATACGCCACCGCCTTGAAGTGTCCCGCCATTGAAGCACTTCATTGCAACCGGTGAGGGTTCATCTGAAAAAGTTTCTCAGTACGGAAATGATCATACGAAACCAATCGCTACGACAACGCTGATTTTTACGCGAAAATTGTAATCGAACTGATCAGTTGTAACTGATACTGGCTGTCTCTTGAGATATTTAAGCCTTTAGGCTTAAAACATCTCAAGAGACAAGTTCAACTATGCCGAGATTAAGAGAAAATCGAACATGGTCCATGATACTGGCTGTATTGCTTGCGTTCGGAGGTGCCAGTAGTACAGTTGCTTTACTGACTTTTCTTTATCTCATCTACAACCAAGACCCTTCCTTTACTGTTCTCTTCCTGCATTTCTCACAAAGATGGATTTCGCTTTAGTTATGCACCATTCGTGAACCTTCATCTGAAGAATTCACCTCACAGTTTCGGAAAACAGACTTCAAAAAAGCCCAAAAAGCAGGTAGCCAATTTGAGAGCTACTTTCAAGTGACAATCAGCTCTCCTACAATACCGTATGCCAACGACCCTTCCAGAGCACTCATGCACCAGAAACGTCAAAGCATAGTTAGAAGGCACCTGAAAGTCAGGACGCCCTCGACAACGTGATTAAAACTCATCATTACTATCTGCTTCCTTAATTCCTAAGTGTAATAGTTACTAGAAAAGAAAAATTCAGTGAAATCGCTAGAAAATAGCTCATCGATAATTGAGTAGCTGGTGGGTTCACAACTTTTTGAATACGGCTGTCAACCATCCTCTTGAAAGCCACAAAGAATAAAGGATATGGTCCCTGTCCTAGAAGATTGACTGTGGGACAAAATGGGTGCCTGTTCTGGCGATCTCTTTAATGTTCTGTAAGAAACCTAAAGGTAAAGGATAGTCTTTGGCGTTTATCAGTCCCGTCTTTGGGAGGTATCCCGCATTAGACATACATTCAGAATTGTATTGGTGTACTAAACGCGTATTTGATTCAATCCCAAACCTCGCGCACGTGTTACAACACCCGCCCTAACTGTTCGAAAAATCGCGCAAAGATGCGGTTTCGCTTTTTTTCGTTTTTTTTTTCCTGTAACTAAGATTGTTCTCACATTTTTATGTAGTGTGCTATATGGTTCAATTCGAATCGTCGAGCTCTGCAAAGTGGTGCTCTGAAAATTTTGAAAAGCTTATTTTTGAAGTCCACCATCCATCAAAGCTTCTGAGGATACGTCATTAGCAACGAAAGCTGCGATAATTATAACCTAAAGTAACTCGCTTCTATAGAAAGTAGTCAATAAAATGTGACGTAGCTGAAATTTCCCGACATTAGATGAAAATTAGACTGATCATTTCGATACCAGTTTTCTCCAAAATGGATATATTTGGCCATACTCCCTACTTGCCACTACCCCATTCCGCTGATGATGGTCTCAATAGAACAGAAATCAACTTAGGAATAGAAAACAAACTAACCAAGTTGTGCACAAAATCCTGGAACCAATCGACGAAAAATGTTAGATCCGTCAGAAAAGGTCAACTCTTGCCTTAAAAAACAGAGTTTTTATCTTTGGAATCCCCCAGAATAGCGTTTCCCCTTTTCGATGATGAATTCAGCGACTACTACAATATGACACAAAACTACCTCTAAACACTCCATGGAAGAAATTATATAGGAAGAAATTGGAAGAAACACGTCACGTACAATGAACGTCGATAACGTGAGATTCTGTAAATTTGAAAAACTTACACAAAAGCTCCAGGCATACAACCTCCTGGTTGACTAGGAAATACGTAGGGAAACGTGCAATCGGGATCTCGACATAGATTCGCGCTCACTACCGATCCTGTTGGCTTTCCTGCGACATCATATCTAGCATAAGTCAAATTCGCGATAGGCGTAAAGCCACTCACATAGGCTGTCGTATACGCCTCAATCTCTGAAATCAATGAAGTGCTTCAACTTGTGCACAAGAATCGAGTAGGAACTAGAAACATTCAAAGAATGTGGTCATGGTGTACCGAAACAGAGTGAAATTTGAACCATTTTGGAAGCACAGTTCGCGATGATCTCGGGTTACCTACTTTTGGACGAATAACGGAAGAAGCTATTGTTAACACGAAGAATGACGTACTTAGAGAAATTTAAGGCTTGAAAGAGTTATAAAATTGGGGTTGGGACGAGAATGTGACGAGAAAAGCTGCGGGGACAGTACATTCGTGCGATTCGAGCTGCGCGTGGCAAGTTGCGCGGCGAAGTTCGTGGCCTTCCGAACGCCCCAGGCACCTATTATTGGGGCACAAACTTGAAGTAGAGTAGATTATATGGTCGGCTAATCCTACTAATCTACTTTACTGCGAAATTGGGCCCCAATATAGGCGCGAAATTCGTCAGAATAGCTATGAATTTCGCCGCGCGCAGCTCGAATCGCACGAATGTACACACACCCGGGTATTTGGGGTATGTGTACGAACGTGCGTCCGAGGATGCGCGCGGCAAATTGCGCGGCGAAGTTCGTAACTATTTAAACGACTTTAGCGCCTACCATTGGGGCCTAAATTCGAAGTAGATCAGAACGATCATCTGCCCCTAAAAACTACTCTACTTAGAGTTTGTGCCAAGAAAGTTGGTGTCAGAGTCATACGAATTGTCACGACCTTCGCCGCGCAAGTTGCCGCGCTCGCCCTCGGACGCACGTTCGTACCGTCCCCCGGGTATTTGAAAGAGATGTCCCGGTGAGTGTGTGCCATTGCGTACCGCTGGCTACAGTAAGTTGCCTTCGTGCAACGCGTGCGTCCCGGTGCAGACGGAGCAACCTTTATAGCCTCTATAACGTCGTGAGAACTCGTCCACCTTCCGGAGAACGGCGGATAAGCTGAATCTGTGGCCCTTAGTACATCCTAACAAGGCTAACTTTCGACTCAACAGCGTCCCTTATGCTATACTTGAAGGACACTGATCCATCCAGGAAGAAATCTCAGAAATCGTTCTTTTCGTGAACTGTGCATTAAAGGGGTGCATAAATGCTTCATGGCAAACTTTCTAATTTTCTGTGATGCACTAGCAACGCTGGAAAAAAATGAATGACGGCGAAATACTAGACCAACTATATCTGATGGAATGGTCAATATTGTACCTGAACTGACGACGGTACTGCCAACATCAACGGCTGGGTCTGGACTCGAACCAATAAATACAGTATTGGGTGAATTTATCCAGACTCGGATATTGACACTCGACTGCTTCTTTGCAGTTACCGTAATCATGGTCGTTGCTGTCGCAGTCGTTCGGATTAACTTAATACGGGGCATTAAATTTTTGAATGAAACCCTTACCTATCTATCGACGAAACGAGTTTCTGTGATCATTTGTGAGACCATTGATTTGCTGTACACGATTAATACACGGTTACTGCTCAGTCTACAAAAACCACCTTATAATACTTGCCAGATGCTTCTGTTTTTGGCTGAATTCCATTCTGATCAAGTACTCCGGGAACTGAAAAAGGTGAGCCTTAGAATAAAATTTTCAGAAAAAAATTGTTGGGCTGTTGTTTTTGGTACTTGCTTCTGTGCTTCTTCTATTCAGTTACTCCTCTAACTGTTTTACAAAGTAACTAGATGAAGAGAGCCTGCACTCATTCAGATGAAAGCGAGTCGGGCTTAACTAAAAGTGGCTAAACGATCCGTTAGCAATCAAAGGTGTACCTAGTAATGAGATCAAGTCTCGCGCAGATAAGACATCTTCTGTGAAAACTGACATATCCACCTATACATATGTATATACCTGTAGCATTCTCGGCTGTTATCAATATATAAACGACTTGAGAATCATAGTCGGCTCTGATAGGCACTTCGATGTCGTCCTGTGGATTCACTTCGTAAAGGGTCGCCATGTTCTCCATTTGATAATAGTATGGGAGTAATTGGTCGATCAGCTGGAAATAATCGTTTAACCCTTTGTGTTTCCTATTACGATACTACTTCGTGGCGTCGTGGTACATTACAGAATGTCAAGCCACCGAGTCAACGAATTTTTCTATCTATGAGGACAGCAATCGGGTAGTACTGTGCAATCCATGAAGGCGAATGGACAGTTTGCTCAACGATGTCCTCATTTGCTAACAGGAAATCATTCCTTCTCAACTAACTCATGTGTCATGTCATCAGAACCTCCGTGCTACCAAACGAGGACATCGTTGAGCAACCTGTTCATTCGCACATGCGCTGCAGTGTACTTCCTGATGGTTGTCCTCATAGGTAAATTCTGCTCGGTTAAGCACTAATCAAAATAATAGGATTTCTAAGTAAATCTCGCTCTAAATTCGCTCAGGGCGTATAAACACCAACCATTTTCGGGTCTTCGAAATGATGTTCGCTGGGGAGGTTAGATGAGTTGTTCTATTGAAGCCTATTGTAACTGTACACCTGATTCAGTGTAATGCCAACTACAAAGCCCTCGTTGTAGCGAAAGTTGAACAAAATAATAATGGCTACTTCAGTGCCAGATTGCTGCGCCGAATTTTTTGGTCACAGAGCCTACAAAGAACTTGTAAAATTGGGGGTTGGAGGAAACAAAGCTTGCATGCAGACAGCTCACTGTAGCAAGATGAGCGCAGTGGCACACAGCTCGTCCAAATAACCCTTCCATGCAACTTTTGTTGTCACATTCCATCCAACTCCTAATTTTACGATATTTATGATGCCTTGAACTTTCCTGTGTACGATGTTTTTCGCAATTTTTTCCTCTTCTATTAGTTCCATTATTCTTCTGAAACTGAGCACACCGAGATTATCAAGAATTTGCCTTCAACTGTTCACAGTTATTTCAGTGGTTGTGTGAAATCTTTCTAATCGGGTGGCTTGAAGAAGTTAGTGAGCTAAAAACTCATTTCTTTTTCCTCTTACTTCCGTCACACGTGTCTTTTCGATTACGATCAGATCTCCTTGTGTTGCCCTGACGAGACGACGGAACACATCGAAATAGTCGCCAAAATAATCAATCGGATCAGAGTCAGTCTCGGAGAGAAAAATCGCCAACTGAAATTGCTAATTTCAGAATCAGGAACTCAGATGGCCTCGCAGTCAAATAGTTATAAATTTTTCCAAGTATTGTTTCAACCTGAAGGAACTGATCAGATAAAGAGAAAAGCTGCACAGTTAGAATTCACAGTGTCTTTTCTAGTTATACTCTACCTGATTGGCAGTAACTCACTTTATTCCTCCATGCCAACGTCCGCTGTATAGCTAGCATTTCAGGCGAGGATGACGATAATTTCGGATTGAACGATCTCGCATCCGAAGCAGCCGAATCAGCAAATACATACACCACGGAAGCCGGATGCATTAACGATGAGCTGGAAAGAAGTGGGATAAAGTTAAATTCGCTTGAATGTCCACAAATGAACTCCATTTTGCAACAACATTCTGCAAGAATATAGATCAGTTTGCTTTAGTTAATGCTCGAAACATGAGAACTCCCGATATGTTTAGATAAAGAACCTAAGCATCGAAGACATCATTGTCATTTGTTTCTCAGTGGCTCTTCGAACAACCTTAACTGGATGTATGTACAACATTTACTTTCTCTAACAACAAAACTCACAATGACTGAACGCTGTTAATAGCAGAAATCGTAGGTTGATCGGTATCACCGGTCGATATTACAACACCATTGAGATAATCGAGTAGGGCGTCGGATGACGTGAAGATCTCGTTTTTCATGAAGTAACTGTTTTCTGGAAAAAGTTTTGCGAGCATTCCGCATGATGGACCAAACTTTTACCACATACGGGACTCGAACCGTCTTCCTGACTTTTCGTGCACTTTATCCCTTACACCACTCCCAAACCCTGCTTGCTCTCGTCTTCTGGTAACAAGACGAATGCGTTTATGTGCACTACCTCGTTTCTAAGGCTGGTTTTTAATTTCCTCAATCCGATAAACCTCACAAAAGGCATCAGTGATTTGCTCAACGAATAAGGGAAGGTTCTACCGATTCTTCGGTGCATATACTTTTATATTTGACTGACTTGAAAAATTCTATAGATGAACCAAAAAACAGTTTCTTTTTGTCGTAGAACCATCTTGCCAACCTACATGTTATATAAAATATTTGTCCTCAAGGCGACCCATACTAAATCAAGCTCTATGATAGTGTTTTTTGAATAAGTCAAATGGTAGCGTAGATGCCCACTGTATTGCAGGTAAGTGTTGAGGATGAAGTTGTCGATCAAACCAGGAGATGCCTTGCCGATGTCGCTCACCCAGATTGGTAGCTGAAACAACGCTGTCAGAGAGGCGTGGTATCATTCTCGACATCGATTTTACCTGATTAATCAGCTGGTGAAGATCGTAAGCCATGGTGGAGCGCAAGTTCAGCACCAAAATGAACGACTGGTGACTGGTGTCCAAGTTAGATTGTACGCTCGGCACGCACCCTCCTAAGAGCATGAGTAGATTGATTGTTCCTCAGAAAGGAAACGAACGAGTGATAAAGGAAAAAGCATTGGGGTACGATCAATCCCGCCTGGAGATGCTTCTTCGCATTCGACTTCCATTTAGAATAGCAGTGGAGTATTGAATGCGTATATAACCTATGCAATGAAGTCTTTCCTTCTAAACGAGTCTGATATTAATCAAACGACCCCGGTGGAATGGAAGACTTGGTTGGCCTGGACTGTCATCAATTCGGGATTAAAACCCATAACCGTGCGTGTGTCGTCGTGCGCCACTTGCCACTACACCTCCTCCGCCCTAGACGTTCAATAGAACATACATTGATCCCACTTTGTCTTATTTGCCGTTGTAAACGTCTAATTTTTGAAACCAAAAAATTTTTCGAGTCAAATTCACTTGCTGAATGAAAAATTGCTCACTAGGTTCGCAGTTCAACGCATAAAAACCTGGTGGACAGGTACATCTGTTTTTGTCCAAAATCCCGAAGTTCTGGCACCTGAATGAATCGAAAGAAAATTTGCGATAACGAAGATTTTCGGCTAAAAAAATGAAAAAATAAAGTACAAATCTTTCAGCTATAACTGATCCTGAGGGATACGCCGTACGTTCAACTCCAACTCACAATCGTAGTGGCGTTTCGAATGCGTATGTGACCTATACAATGGTTTGCGACGGACAGCCGACGTACAAGTCAGTGTTTTCATTTCAAAATCAAATACGGTAGCAATTAATCGAGTCCGGAGGGATCAAAGGCTTGGTTGGTTTAGACAGGCATCGATCCAGGTTTCAATTCCGGAACATGCATGGGATTGTGAGCCACATGAGATGACACCATGTCCGCTTTACTTGGAAAAAACAAAACAAAATTTGTTCACCGGAAAGCCTGAGAAATCAGGGCAATATTTCATAAAAAATGGTCGAACAGTCTCTGAACTGCTATGCAATTCTTTTATCGACGTAGTAAGTCGAATCAGAACATTTTGTAATGTATGTAGTAATCGATTGAGAAATTGCCAGTGATTCCACAATTTATTTCATAAGGCTCATACGCATTCAAACCGCGACTACGGTTTTGAATAGAAGTCGAATGCGGGGGGCGAATCCTCAGACGGGATTGTCAACCAATTTTTAGCCTGATTTTCAAATTCAGATATTTAAAAGCTCACGAGATGATATCGCACTGCGGTCCCGAAATAAACGGCGGGCAAACGCAAGTACTGTTCGGCAGTAGTATGCCTCCATTGCTGCAATTAAACACTGCCGGTGATTCTTCGATGCCACGAAATGGTGGAGGAGAACCTGAAGTAAGGCATTCACTTGGTAATGTTTTCTGTAGAGAATAACTTCGACCAAACTTTACCAGTTTGGTTGCAGGATTATAAAAATATACGATAGTAAGTATCAGCATTAGTACTACTTCTTATTTGCTACTGACCTTATTTTTCAGCAATATGACTTGACCCATCCACTTGCCTTTTGACCCCAATACCACTGACGGGCGCCATGAGAAGGCGGGAGAAGGTGATTTGTATGGTAGCGAGGCGATACGAGCCATTTGTCGTTCGGATCACTTTGTCATTTTGTTATTTGTTGCGTTTGCTTATTGTTTTATATGCTTCTTTGAGTTCATTCTGTCAAACTTTGTTTTGAAGATTACATCCGCTTAAACTTGAATGTATGTCATGAAATGGAGCGTAACGTAAATAATGTTATCTTAGATCTTTGACGATGTCACCATGCAGGGCTAAAATCAGTTCTGTTCGACGGTTTATATCGAGTTTGATGTTTTTAGCTTCGAATGGACTTATAACAAATAGGGTCGAATAAGACATAAATCGCCTACACAACGTGAGTTTAAGGTTTCATAGGGTAGGGTTGCTGTACTATTACTCAGAAGAGAAACAGATACTGATTCTTACGGAACCGAAAAGTCAGTATGGGCACTTGGCTTCTAGTGTAATTCCGTTACGAGTGATTTTTCGGCTGCTCTCATCGATCTTGTCGAAAAAATCATCAAAAAAAAAACCGACTGATTCTGGAAAGATAGTAGAGTTTCATGTCATCCCCTTCTGTGATCTGAGCAATGATTTGCTCTCGACTGAACAATGACGATGTTGTGAGATATCCATGAAAAATTGCAGTAGGCATGCCAGCCTCTACGCCATGAATCCTGAAAATATTGAGTTATGTGGAGAGTGCTTTGTCTGCTGTGTCATTGAACAAACTCACCAGAAGTTGTCCACGTGAAAGTTGAACGGTTCAGTATTCAAGCGAGTGAACAGCTATAAACAATTCAAATTAGCATTTTCTCCAAAAGTTTTCTAATCGACTAATTTGCTGAATAAACTCCCCATTCAGATATGCTCAGTCCCAAATACTTTAAGTTATTAGACCTAGTGGAGCAGGTTTCTTTCTTGTGACTTTTGCGAAACAACTGGGAATCTTGACAGCTGTTAAGCCCACCCCATCGCCCGTCTTGTGGCCTTACCCAAGATTCCTTTTCGACGAGTCGTACATGTAACGGGTGAGAATTTGTGTATTCAAGTAGGGTTGTGGTAGTACCATATTCCTCTAAGATTTCGAATTCGCCACTAAAACATTTTGCAACTTGTGTCAAATATTCAAATCTGCACCCAAGCCCGTTGGAACAAGGTTCTGTGCACATCCCATTCCAACACATCACAAACTAAATAAAGGGTGGAGGTAAACCTAGAGCCGGTTAACCGATTGCGATACCATGGAGTCTCCCGATTGTTGTGCGCATACAAGTGGCGGTGGTCTTTTCCGGAAATAGTCTGGTATATTGGAAAGAGGGAGACTCTACGAAGAGAGTTATTTGCTGATTGCTAAGAAAAGGAACTCCGCACACGCACACGCTCACGTTCCCCAGTTGTCATCAAAATTATATGCTGGTGAACAGTTGCAAATGAGTAGAAATAACCGTTTCTGAGATTTGCTCGACTGCTGCTTGATTGGCTTGCGAGTATCGTGGCTTGACATCGAGGAAGGACACATTGGCGTGGTGACCTTCGAGCTCGTAGTAATGGACGTCTACTAAAAATCCGCTTTGTAAACTTTTACACTACAAATTCTAACCTGGTCCTTTTTACAATGAGGGACCGATAAAGAGCCTTGAGGATCCTACGAGATTTAGTCTCAATCGCTTCACTACTGGCTGTTTGAAAAACTTCACTTTGACTTTGAAACAACAATAAAACATGAGTTGACATCTTCTCCAATTACATCCTATAGATAGATCCGTCAAGGTAGTCGCGATCGGCTTAGTAAGTCAAACCTGCAGAAGTCAGCGTCCACAGAATGCTGAGCAGAAAAAAGGCGAACATGCCAAAGTGGCAGTATGTTGCAACGAACTATCCGCTATCGGTGGAGCATTTTGCCACTTTATCAGAAGCATCACGAAGTTGTATTTCGGACGGGAGCCCGAGATAAGAAGTTATGCGAACTATTTTGATAGGTTGTCCTACGCGCTCACTGATCAGAAATCAATGAATTGTTGAAGTATAAAGGCGCAGCTCACGATAATCCTGGGTATCTACACAATTCAAGGCGAGCGATGGAAATGACGTAGAAAATCACGAAATCATCAAAGCTAGGGGTTGGACGAGAACGTGTTGACAACAGTTGCATACAAGGGGGAATCTGGACGAAGTGTCCACACGTAGGCTAAGCCAGTTTTGGGGCCTTTGATACGCCCTATCTAGGCCGTTTTTCGGTCCAGCATCCTCAGCTAACATTGGAAGTGGGGGGGGG